CTCTCTCTCTACCCTTTTATTTTCTCCAGCGCTCACACGTGATTTGAGGGGAGGATTTAAGAAGGGGGCACTATAGGAGGTTGACAATTTAAGTGATGGAATTAACACTGTAGCTATAGTGTTGGTATTGCATTTATTAAGAGACCTCAAGTTTGAGATTTGCTCTTGCATTGTAATTTCTTTGATTAATAAGAAATTAACTGTGTGGTTCCCGAGAACGTAGACAAGTTTGCTGAACCTCGTAAATCTTGGTGTATTTTTTCTATACTATTTTTCTTGCTGTTTTAGGGGTTTAGTGTAGCCCCATGTATTTCCCAACAACTTGTATCAGAGCCTGAAACGATCTAGAAGAAGTCAGATTCAAGTGGGAGCGATGGCCGCAGATGAAGAAATGTGAGATTAGAGAAGTTAGATGGATCAGATTTCGAATTTTGAAAGATACAGATAAAGGATTATTTGTACCAAAAGAATCTGTATCAACCCCTTTCGGGGAAGAAGCGGGACAATAACAACTACTTTTGTACAATATCTTATGTAAACCAATCAATATAATTTTATCATTCGAGGATTCTCCATGGAATCCAAAACAAACAATGTAAAAGCTACAATGTAAAATGATGAAGTGGACAACCACTTTCCACATGGTGTTATAAATGCCTAAGTTTTCACACAACAGGCAAACATCCCCTAAGAAGGAAATCCATTCAATCTTCCCCCTATCTTTTTACTTTTTCTAATTTGTAATTTTTTCCAATACATGAATCAAATCTAAGATCTAGAAGACCATATTAAAACCTTTCAACCATCTGGGTGGCCAACCGTTCTCCTAATTAGTAAAATTTTATATTTGTTAGATTTGAAATGTCATCTGTCAATATAACTTCACCCACCAAAACATTGAGGGAGCGTTTGGATGACAGGGTGTTTGTCTCGTTATCGTTTTTTTTTCAAAAAAACATGTAACCACGTTTGGGAACTGATGTGTTTTTTTGAGCTGCCCCTTCACAAAATATAGAAAATACACGGTTTTCTCAAAATACCTAAAAGGTGTTTTGAGATTCCCGTGTCTCATTTTCCCCCAAATCAACCCCGATCCCTTTTCTCTTCCATCACCCTAATTCGTCCGCCCCACTCCTAAATCGGCGCAGTCTCCGACCCTCCGACGCAACCTAGCCCTCCGATGCAGCCCTTCGACGTCCGCTAGAGCCTCGACCGGTCGGCGCAGCCTCCAACTGCGTCGCAGCCTCAACCCTAACACCCTCGACGCATCCTCACCTAACACCGTCGCTACCTCCGACGTCGCCAGGTCTCCGAGTATTCGCCCTGCCACCTCCACGTCGCCGTAGCTGCCTCGTCGTCGCCGCTCCGGTCGATTCCGACGCCTCCTCCAACAATTTATTTTGAGCAACAGCTTCTCTCCAGCAAACCAATCCTAGCAACAACTATCGTGAGATTTCTGTGCCTCTTTTGTTTGATTTTTTATTTTCAAAATTTCAAATATAAGGGTTTAGAGTGATTTGTATTACATATATGATACATAAAGATGAAAATTTGTATCTTTTTGATGAATGTTTCGAGGAATTATTATTGAAACCTTTAGTGAGTTTGATGAAGTCAGTGGTTAAATGAATCGTTTTTTTCAAAACAAAAAAATTCATCTCAATTTTTAGGTATGGATGAATCAATAATCCTGCTCCTTCCGACTTTAATTATGATTGTGTATATTAACATCACATTTTTTTTGCTACCTCAAAATCAAGTTCATTTTCGGATCAATCTTGACTGTACATGCAGACCTTAGCTCAAATGATTCTCCTTCATATTCATTAGGCTGCTCACACAACTGTGCACTGACGACCTTGTACTTGATTCTATTCATCCATCTGAATGTTATTGGTTCGGCCATGTGCAGAGTCTGTTGGAAGTCATAGATAAAAGGATCAACTTTAGATGTTGACAAGATTAGTATTGTTAATTGCTAGAAGTGTAAAGCAGAAACAAAAAACCTTTCGTGCAAAATTTTTTGGTTGAGTAAGTTAAATCTAGTGTTCAGACATACTATATAGTTCTAATTCGACCACATCCAATTACCGGACATTCTATCTTTTAGTTTCCTAAATTCCAACAAATAAAGCAAGTAGATGTCAAATTTTCCCTCTAACTTCATGGATATCCTAAGCAAATGCCCTAGAAACACTTCTGGGCTTCCCAATCCCCACAATATCATTCCCAATATTGTCATTGTTATGTATGGTAGCCATAGGGAAGAGTCATGTATTGCTTTAGAGGAATTACTGATAAACATAGTTAAACTACTAAGTACGTACTTGGAACATTTAGTGCTAAGTTTAGTTGAAATTGTTGGCCAGTAATTGATTGGCCTCCTGTCCACTATGACATGTTTCTATTGTTAACGTTTCATGTGCGAGCTCATGTTTTATTTAATCTTTAATTTACTTGTGTATCAACTACTTCTTGAGAAATAAGTTTTATGTTGTTGTGAGCTCATGTTTCATCCTATGTTCTTGATTCCACTTTTTATTTCATTCAAATAAACTATCTAACGACATATCAATATTCTTTTTGGTTTGATGTTGTTGTGAATGTAATAGATGTCAAGTAAAAATCGTGATGTCAACGAAGTGGTGGAGATTTCCCCTTCTCAAGGAGTGGGATTTTGGTCTGAAAATGTGGAACTTTATTTCATAGACTTGATGGAGGAAGAAGTAAAAAAGGGAAATAGGCATATAACTACATTTACTAGATCATCTTGGAAATTCATGGAGCATGAATTGAAAAAGAAGACGGGGAGAGAATACACTCATGACCAAATGAAAAATAAGTTTAACCAATTGAGACAAAGATGGAGAAATTTAAAAAGTCTATTGACGTCATGACCAAATGAAAAATAAGTTTAACCAATTGAGACAAAGATGGAGAAATTTAAAAAGTCTATTGACGGATACGGTAGTTGGGTATACTGCGAGCACCGGTCAAATATCTGCAACGGAAGATGTGTGAACTAAGTTGTATGCGGTAATACTCATTGATTAATGCAATTTTTTATTAGATACCTTATGTGAGTTTGAATTCATTATTATTTTTTGTTTTACGTAGACGCACAAGTACGCAAGATATTTTAGAAGGAAGGGTTGCAAAGGTTATGACAAGTTGTGCATTATTTTTGGTGATACAACTGCTACCGGTGATCATGCTCATCCCTCTACTAAAAGTCCTACCATTAGTAAAGATGATAATGAAGAAGAAGGTGAAGATGAGGAAGATGTTGAGTCATCTCGGGCTAAGAAAAAGGCAAAAGTGGCAAACAAACGTGTACCGTTGAACCAACAAATCCAATTAGCAATGGTAGAAGCTTTAACCTCGATGGGAGAAAACTCTAGGAAGAAAATGGAGTTGGGGGAGAGGAAAATGAGTTCGAGTTGAGGGAGAGGAAAATGAGTTCGACTATTGCAGATAGTCATGTTAGTGGAGGGAGAGGAAGAAGCTCTGAGGAAGAACAAAGAATGGTTCAGAGCATCACATCACTTAGTGCTCTTCCCGATGTTGACTCAATTCAGTTTTCCAAGGCCACACATATTTTGCATGATGATGCATCATGGAGAACCATGTTTTTAGCCATGCCTAGCGAGAGAAAGAAGGATTGGGTGTTAAATCTACCTTGATGTTGTTTATGTTTGTTTCGAAGAAATTTGTATTTGTTTATGTTTGTGTTTGTTTCTATTAGGCCAAGGACTTTGTGTGTGTTTCTATATGTTTGATTCTAGTAGGTCGAGGACTTTTGTGTGTGTTTAAATTATGCTTGTGTTCTAGTAGATTGAAGACTTTTGGGTGTATTTGTGTTAGTTTTTGAACCTATATATGTGTATTTCCATAACGTTGTTGGTATTATACTTGTTTATGTTGTTGACATGTGTATTTGTGTTAAATTTTATTATACTTGTTTATGTTGTTGACATGTGTATTTGTGTTAAATTTTATTATACTTTGTAGGTATGGATGGCAATACAGGTACAGATGATTATCAACTATCATCACAATCTGATTCAAACTCTGATTCAGATGAGGAGGAATTTCAAGTGTTATTGACTATTCATGCATTTATGGAGTTTAATGGATCTTTTATGGAGCAGCCTCGGCTACAAAGGATTTCAAAATTAAGTGGGCATGATTGGGTGATTGAGGTTCTAGGTGGTCACCCGGGTACTTGTACAAAGGATTTCAAAATTAAGTGGGCATGATTGGGTGATTGAGGTTCTAGGTGGTCACCCGGGTACTTGTTTTGACCTCTTCCGAATGAAGGTGGTCACCCGGGTACTTGTTTTGACCTCTTCCGAATGAAAAAAGAAGCATTTATTAACCTTTGTGAATAGTTAAGGAGAATTGAAAAATTAAAACATTCTAGAAATGTGACGATTCAAGAACAAGTAGCAATCTTTTTATTTGTGCTTTCTCATAATGAACGCCAACGTATGCGCACGGATCGTTTTCAGCACTCACTAGAGACCATCTCTACATATTTTAAGAAGGTCCTTTATGCAGTTTGCTCTCTAACCAAATATGTGATCGTTCCTCCATCATACGATGCAAACTCCACCAGAGATATCATATACCACAAAATATTATCCTTATTTCAAGGTATGTATATATTCCTTCCTACATTAATTATGTGAATTTTTTTACTATCGTTCTAATAGTAATATATTACATGACAGAATTGTGTAGGGGCTATAGATGGAACACATGTTTCAGCTTGTGTGCCGCAAGATAGTCAAGTTCCATATCGTGGAAAGAAAATTGTGCCAACAATGAATATGATGTGTGCTTGCTCTTTTGATATGCGGTTCACATTTGTTATGAGTGGATGGGAATGAAGTGCAAATGATTCAAGAATTTTCTTAGAGTGCATTAGCAATCCCGCAAACAAATTCCCTATGCCCCCTGCAAGAAAGTATTATTTGGTTGACTCTGGATATACCAATATGCCGGGTTTTCTTTCATTGTACCGTGGAGAGCGATATCATTTGAATGATTATCGAGGGCAGAATCTTCCACCGCAAGGTACTAGAGAACTATTCAATTACTTGCATTCGTCATTAAGGAATGTTATAGAACGATGCTTTGGGGTATTGAAAAAAAGATTTCCAGTTTTAAGAGATATGCCTTCATATAGTTTGAGAAAACAAAAATATATAGCATTAGCATGTTGCGTTATTCACAACGTGATTCGAATGCATGATTCTGGAGATCCATTATTTGTCGAGTTTGAAAATGAAGATGTGGAGCTTGAAGAAGATGATATGACTGCACAAGAACAACAAACCATACCGGTCAATGTCGGCCCAGAGCACCTTCGTGAGATGTCAAGGTTTCGAGATCGTTTGGCCCAAAGGATGTGGAACGATCGTGGTGGGTAATATCGGGATGTGTTTTGAAATTAATGTATATTATATTGTAATGTCACTAAAATACATTTTGAGCCTAATGTATATATATTATCAATGTCATTAGAACATGTTGAACAATTATTCATCGTTGTTTCATGATGGTGGTGACGTATTAGAATTTTTAAATTTTTTTTTTGAATTATAGGCATTGAAAAAAGCTCCCAAATTGTGTGGTTGACCGCCACCACCCGCGCCGGATGACGGCGGAGGCGGCGGGCCGAACGACCGCGTCAGAGGCGACGGTCAGAGGCGTGACGACTGACGGTCGACAAGTGGTTGGTGGTGGGGTGCGGCAACGGGCGAGAGTAAGGTTTAATTGGTTGGGTGTGTATCATATGCTAACTTTTAAAATGGTGTTTTGAAAACACTTTTGAAAAATAAACACCATGACATGATATTTTTTTAAAAAACACAACCAATAAAACACTTTGGTTACCAAACATACTCTGAGTTTCTCCACCTTTAAACCTTCAATTTTATTTTCTGTCGCGATAAATTGTGATATGGACATTGCTTGACGTATCTTAGATCTGAGTTGGACGTTCGAGTAATTTTTATTTGACACTTTAAAGCCCAGCCCAATGTCGAACCCACAGGGCCCAGCCCAAAACCCTTCTCCCAAGTTTCGAAATCCTTCGATTCCAGAACTAGACATAAAACCCTACGCCCCAATTTGATACACGTTGGCTTAGAATTTGGGGAAACAGCTGAATTTTTGAGGTATTTTCGCGCTTCACTGAGATTCTAGAGGGGTTTTTCGCCATGGGAGGTGGAGCCCGACCCCCTTCGACCCCCAAATCCAAAGCCCTAGAGCTCCAGTGGGTCCCACTAAAGGACCACCCCGTCTTCAAGAGCACCGGCGGCCGCCGCGCGCCTCTTCGTTGTGCAGCGGCACAGCCGGCAAACATTGCCGCCTGGGGACGCCGCCTTCATCCCGCCTCTACCTGTGGGACCCGCGCATCCCGACATATACACCGCCTCTCGCTTCGGTTCGCCGGCGAGGATGCCGATGAGGTTGAAGATGGCGACGTTGTTCTCGCTGCTTCGCCTTCCGAGGTTTTGATGCCCGATAAGGAGATAAAATCTGTTGTTGATCGGATTTCGCTTAACGAGGACGGATCGTCGCTGGTTATTTATGGGCGTAATTGCGTCTATTTCATGAATTTGTATGAAAAGGCTTCTTCAAATGGTAGCGTGATAACCTACAGGTATGAAGATCTCAAGCTGTTGAGTTATTTATTTTACAGGAATCCCAAGTTTGGGAATAAGAGTTTTGATTTGGGCGGGGTGGAACTTGCTTTTCTCATTTTTAGCTCTAATCAATGCTTAAATGCTAAAATTAAATTCCTTGAGAAAGAGAATGTAAGCTAATAGTCCTGTAGAACAATGCAATCCTGGGTCTGGGCCCACTCGTTGGTTTTGTACTAGACTAATGTCGGCTCGCTTGCATTTGTAAAGATGAGGATGATTCTAATACTATTTGTAAGAGGTCTAGGGGAACCCACCCCAAGGAGCTCAAATCTCATATTAACCCATATGTTGCTACCCTTTTAATTGACATGGGACTAAATGGACCCTAACAGAAAACTGACATAAGGAAATTGGACTAAGGACCCTTGAAAAAAAAAACTTTTAGGTGTTTATCTACTTTGGTAGAGATATTTGTCTGTATTGATCGGAGGGGGATTCTGTAAATAAGGCTACAAATTCTACATGGTTAGCTCGTAGCTACATGATTAGCAAAACCATTGAGTTGAGGCAAGAAAAATAGAGATTTCAAGCAGATACCTTATGAAAATGAAACCAGAGCTTAGTTCCCATCTACTTGTAGTGATGTATTTGTCAATCTTGTGACTTGAGAAGTAAATATACTCAGCAGGCATGATTCTATAGACCTTTGCTCTCTGGAGTGCTCGACATGAAATGGTTTATATTTATATCTTGACATTTTCGCTGATATACTTGTAGAGATAATATTTTTTTTTCATTATGTTTATAAATATCTTACAGTGGTTCTTGTAATCTGTTCTTAATGCCAGTTTTACTATAATATTCCTGGGCACCCAAATTGTTAATGCATCTTGTTGTTGTTTTAAACTGAGAAACGGTATGCTGCTTAAGCTTTTTGAAGCTTGATCATTATCAAGGGGGAACACATGTTTGAAGAGTATATAGTTCAATGCAGTTATACAACAATGCTATACTCATGTAATTGTGTAATTATCTAAATCAGCACTAATTAACCCAATCCTATTGTTAAAGCCAACAGTTTTGGTACTCCAAAAGATAATTTTTGGAGTGCCGATGGCACAATTAGTAAATAGTTTTTGCATTTTATGCTCTCTCTGTCTCGTGCTAATGCGGTTATTCTCTTTTTTTGAAGTTCCACACCCAAAATGGCAATTTATTTAAGTTTTAAGGGTAGATAAAAAGGTTTATTTCGGGCATCATCTTCTCCATTCAACACGTTTTCTCCCCCATTTCCTACTCAATGTACGACAACTTCTCCTTTCAGCATTGATTCCTCCCCCATCGGATGCTTAAAGTGCTACTTCCTCCCCCATCAACCGCTCAAAGTTCGACGAGCGCAATCTCGACCATCTCATCTGCATTTTTTGTTCAAAATCCTCTAAAATCCATTTTCGCCCTCTTCTATTCCATGAACAATGCTCTCTCTCTCTCCCTCTCTCTCTCTGATTGGAATCTCAATTGTAATTCATTGTCGCTTCATGACTTTCCAATGAGTTACTTTAAATGAGTTTTCTGCATTCAAAAAGAGCGTTCAGGATTGTTGATGTTGAAAACGTATTTTACAAAGAAGATGTATTTTTATCCAATTTCCCAAAGTTATGTTCCTCTAGAATAAGAAATTTGAAGTGTGTAATTGTGTAAGCAAATATTCTTTTCTATTTGGATTACTGCTTGAAAGATTTAAAGATCTCATCGTTAAAACTTTCTATGAGAAAAGTGTTGAAGAGGGTGATGACATGGTGAAAAGCAGTTGTTTTAGAAGAAAAAAGGGGAAAGGACGTAAACACCCTTCTTATTTCTCAGCCCAATTTTGATTTTCTTTTATTTAAAAATTCTAAAAAAAAGCCTATTATAGGAGCACTAAAGCATTCCCCGTATTGCTAATTGGTTTTTCTCATGCCATGGATGACTTGGATTTCTTTTCATATTTTAATTTTAGTTGCTTTACAACATTGTTTATCAAGGCATTTCTACTTTGCTGGTCCTGTACATATGTAAAACATAGTACATAACGGTTTGATATGAATTAAGTTAGTTTTTCCCTCTTTTCTACTCTTTATGGTAGTATAATTTTGTAAGATGAGATAGGTTTTCCTTGGGATTGGTAAGTATTATTATCATATGTTATTTTCTTCTATCTTTTGTGTACCCTAGCTTCAGCATCATTAAAGGCTTGCAATTCAGTCATTCCTTTTCGAATTTAATCTATTTCTGATAAAAAGGTTTTCATTCTAACAGGACGAGCAATGCTTGTCCTCAAATTTTCTCTGCTCACAACAATGGCTTACAAATTTTACAAGTAACATGGCACCCTTATGGAAGCAGTCACGTGGGTATTTTATCCTCAGATTCAGTTTTAAGGTACGTCATGATTATTTAAATGTAGTTGATAACTGAATAGCCCATTTTCTGTTAAACGTGGGCCACTCCATGTCTATTATTATTCGTAATTTCATCTCATAACAACATAGTTGTGCATGCCATTTCATATTATACATCTTAGAATGTTTTAACGCTATTCATTTGTACTTAGTTTGTTGTATTTTACATACAACTATTGATAAACTAAATTTGTATATGCACACGCAAACTTCCTTGCTCGTACCCACCCATGAAGCAACAAACGACACGCATGTCGGGATGCAACACTCAAGTAAATCTTATATTTGGATTGAAGAAATGGTTCCAAGGAGAGGGAGATTATTTATATTCTTTATGCTCTCTTCCTGGGTGGTGGGTGGTTGGGAATGAGGTAGTGCGAAAGAAGTATAGTGAAACAAATAAAATCAAATAACTATTAATATGTTAGAAGGAAAAGTAAGAAAAACAAAATGTAATAAGGAATGTGAATCTTTTCAAAGTTTTGAAATCCTTTATGAAAAGGTGTACTTTAGACTAAGTGACACTAGATCTGTAGGGTGGAGAAGACTACAATATGAAAAAAGTCAACTTACAATTGAAGAAAATTTGAAGAGGAAAAGTTTTCGATAAAGAATAAATTGAGGCGAAACCCCCCTCTTCAAACCCTATAATGAAGCTTGAACATTTCTTTTTGCAGATTATTTGATTTTTCATCTGATTTGGAGCGACCAGAGCAGGAGTTCTATTTGCAGCCATATGAAGTTGGAAGTTCTCATAATGCTGTGTCAATCTGCCCTGTGGCATTCTCATTTGGAGGTCAACATTTGTGGGACCGATTTTCTGTGAGTATATTTCTTCTCCGTATCATTATCTTTCAAACTAATTCGTTCAGGACAATGTTGCATAGATACGGGTACGAGTACGAGACACGACAAATTTGTAAACTGTAGGCTACGGAGACACGGCGGAATATATATACATAGAGGGGGAGAGAGAATGATGGTTATGAGGTGTCGGCG